TATATATATATTCATTCAAAAGCAGTCCAAAACACAAATGCTTTTTGTCCTCATGAGGCCGTTCTTTCTTCTCTCTACATTTTAGTTTTTCCCCTCCTCTTCAAGTTGTTCCTCTTTCCTTTATGCAGTAACCACATGACCCTCCCCCTTTTTTTCTATTTCTTTCATGCTTTTTTTTGCCTTCCCCCCTCAGTCTCCACCTCCTCCTTTTTGTGTGACATTGAATTTTTATGTTCCTCCCTTCCTGTCTGCTTTATGCCAGCTAAAGTTCCCTTTCACCTCAACTCATGTTAAACAAAATCAAAAGTCTGTTCCCCCATTAAAGTCACACTTTGTCAGGATTTTTCTAGCTCAGAGCTGCAAACTTCCTGTATGTCAGTTGAGTTTCCCTCACTGTGCCCTCCTCCACTTCCCCTCTCACACCTCCTCCCTCTCTTTCAGCTCAGCTCCTCTCTTCCTGAGCTTCACTCTGTCGTTGGCGTTCGCGTTGACTGGCCAGAGTCCGCGAGCTGAACACCTTGTTTTGATCCACCACATTTTTTTTTCTTTCATTCTCCCATCTCAGCAGCTCTTCACCCATTCATCCCTGTCCTGACCTCTGGGTAAGTAGCCTGTTTGTTTGTTCCTGGTTCACTGAACATGTCACACGCCCACATGCACAAACTGTAAGAAAAGCCTATTTTTAAGGGGGGAAAGCAGCAAAGAAAGTAGACAGCATTAACTCAGAAAGTAAACGTGCTTATTATGTAACATTTGCTTTATGTTCTGTATGATTTGAGGGTTTTCTATTTTATTTTATTTTATTTTTGTCTGTGTTCGAGCTCAAACTGTTAAGTGTAGTTTGTTACCCTTGGCCTGCATATTTCTTTACGTACGTCTGAAAGTCTGGATTTCATTAAAATAACCTGATAAAGTTCAACAGGTTTCCAAATCAAGAGTGCAGTTTTACTTCTCAGACACTTTGAATTGTTTAAACACAGAATGCTGCAAATTTACAAGTTAATTATTTACTTTTTCAACATTTTTCCCCACTCTTTCTTAATGAAAATATATTAAATTTCCTTTGCTTTTTAAAGACTGGACTGTTGATTTCCCGGCCCACCAGATCCTGGTTCCTCTTTCCACTTCCTGATCTGAATCTGACATCTGATTGGCCATGGCGTACCATAGCTTCCTGCTGGAACCAATTAGTTGTCATGCCTGGAACAAAGATCGGTCCCGTAAGTCCTTTCGCCCACTYTGACATCTGCACCATGCCTTTGGATTCACTTTAAAACCCCACACAATCATGGCACATCTAGCTCCAACTAAAGTTTCTAACAAAGAAGAGTGTCATAAGCAGAGGTCTGTGATTGGCTCCCAGGTGGAAGAAGGTATTTCCTGTTTCCTGTAAGAGTTTGAGTGCCTTTGTGCTCTGTTACTTAGAGGAAATCAACACCTTATTTGGCTGTTGTGACCAGCACTTTGGTTTCTGTGCAAAGCGGATGTTGTTGACTTCTGTGATCGAGAGGCACAGTTTAGTTTCACACAGCTTGCAAGCTGAACCCTTGGACTGAATCACCTCTAAGCCAGAAATGTACACTACAGCACCGACGTGGCAGCTCTTAGACAAACATTTCTTCTGACTCAACTCCAAACTAAAACTCATGGGTTTTTGCTAGTTTATGGAAAAACAAGGACTGCTGTTCTTACACAATGTCTATTTAAAGACAGCGTGTGTCTGTGTGCTGCCCTCGGGTAGATACATACTGAATTTCTGTCATTTTCTCTGAAAGCAGACAGTTAGTCAGCTGATCCGTCCACTTCACTGATCATCCTGTTACAAACTTCCCTCCTGGTCTCTCAGAATGTACTTCRCTCTCTTTTTCTTCCTCTTTTTAGAGTATTTTACCAGTTGCTGCAGCACATGTGTTTATTGTAGTGTAATTATGTGTATTTTATTTCCTCAGAAATTGCCTTGTGCCCCAACAACCATGAGGTTCACATCTACAAGAAAGATGGAACCAAGTGGACCAAAATCCATGAGCTGTTAGAGCACAACGGTCAGGTGACAGGTGAGACTCCATGATTTACTGCTTTAGCTTCCTTTTCAGTCTAATTAAAATAAACACTTATTTGTTAGGAAAATTAAATTTGAAAAAAAAATCTCCCCTCATTGTCACATAAAACCGTAATGTGGCAACTGAGAACTCAATCCACTAGAGATGTGACGTTCGCGAACGATCCGAATCTTTTGAACGGCTCTTTACAACCAACGATAGGAGCCAAATCGCGGGCAGTAACGAGCCATTTGTAGTATTATTTCTTTTATTTCTCATATAATCTTTATTTTTTCATACTTAAATCGCTCCCGCTTTGCTTTTTCATGGAAAACAGGCGGAGTTGTGGAGTACAGAAACGCACGGTGAAAGGGGAGGGGGTTTCTGCTTGACAAACACATGGTTCCACCCACGCAACAGGATTACGTCATTACCTATGGCTACATGATGACGTATTTCCCTACGTGATGACGTAATACGTTCCAAATCTATGAAATCTATGAAGCACACGGCTCCCCAAGATCCGGATCTCTTCAAAGAGCCATTTATCCCATCTCTACAATCCACCAAAATTAAATGGTTTTTCAGAATATCTGGGATTTTGTGCWAAACATAATCAGTTGTCCAACTTTTGGGTCTCCTTTAAGCATACTTATGCTTAAACGTAAGCWTATATGCATAAGCATAATTAGAAGTTTAAAATCTTTAAAAGCTTTCTGGATTTTAGTCCTTGTCTGAATTGCTATTTCTTTATGGCCAGGGTGTCCAATCCTGGTCCTGGAGGGCTGATAYCCTGCATGTTTCACTTGTGTCTCTGCTCCAACACAACTGATTTGAACGAATGGGTGTCTAACAGGTTTCTGCGGAACTTAAAGAGGTAGTTTAATCTCTGAATCAGGCGTGTTGGAGCAGGGAAACAAGTAAAACATGCAGGACCAGGACTGAACACCCCCACCACAAGGCTGAAACAATCCAACAAACAACAAAACTTTTCCACTGACTCTAATCAGAGTCTGTCTTTTTCCTTTTCAGTCTCTGTGGTAAGCTAGAAGCTAAGTGTTGGCTGTGGCTTCCTATTTATTATGCACATATCTAACTGGACTTTTAGTTTCCCGCAGATGTTTCCACTTCCCATCTGTGACTCACACAAGTATTATTACCTTCAATAAATCTCTCTGAACCAGAATTATGCTGGACAAACTTGATTTATATCCTAGAAACATATAACCAAAAAATATTCTGCCGTGTTGTATCTATCAGAAAGTTAAGAAGTTGGTTTCCCCTGCAGGTATTGACTGGGCTCCGGATAGTAATCGTATCGTCACATGCGGCGCAGACCGCAACGCCTATGTGTGGTCCCTGAAAGAGGGAGCGTGGAAGCCCACCTTGGTCATCCTCAGGATCAACCGCGCTGCTCGCTGTGTGAAGTGGTCTCCCAAGGAGAACAAGTTTGCTGTTGGCAGCGGCTCGAGGCTCATCTCCATCTGCTACTTTGAGCAGGAAAATGACTGGTGAGGTGGCGCAGAATTCTCRTATCAGTTTGAAATGAAACCTTACAGTTACATTAAACAATGCACTGTAATGGAAGACATAGCACAAAGTGTTGTCACGTGCAGGTGGGTGTGCAAGCACATCAAGAAGCCGATTCGCTCTACTATCCTGAGTTTGGACTGGCATCCCAATAACATCYTGCTGGCTGCTGGATCCTGTGACTTCAAATGCAGGTATATCATCCTCTTCTGAGTGGTTCCTTAAGTTAGGGACAGGACCCTAGTGTCTGAGWTTTTTTAAAGGTTTAAGTTGTGTAAGATGGCAGAATGTACTCTTTGGTTTAAGAAGAAGTTAGTTTGACTCCCTCAAGATTTTTACCCAGATTCTCCAAACTGAGATGACTTTGATTGCAGTCTACTGCAGGTAAAACACTGACTGCTCAGCATAACCTTGGTTTCATGCGCTTCTCCTGATGACCAGGGTGTTCTCAGCCTACATAAAGGAGGTGGAGGAGAAGCCCGGCCCCACTCCCTGGGGCAGCAAGATGCCCTTTGGGGAGATGCTGTTTGAGTCTGGAGGGTCCGGGGCTGCAGCTCAGACCTCAGGAGGAGCAGGAGCAGGAGGTGGAGGCTGGGTGCACAGTGTGTGCTTCTCCAACTCTGGAAACCGCCTGGCCTGGACGTCCCACGACTCCACGGTGTCTGTTGCAGAGGGAGGCAAGACGAGCACGTAAGAAGGGTAGCGACGGGGTTGGTTAGCCTACCTGAGCGGGGTGGCATTTGTTAAAGTGTCTGACTTTGTACTTTTGATCATGACTCTCCCAGGGTGAACAGTCTGAGCTCTGCGACTCTTCCTCTGCTGTGTGTTATCTTTATCACCGAGAACAGCTTAGTGGCAGCTGTGAGTATTTAACACCTGTTTTGAACAGTTTATATGAGATTTTACTTTGTAAAGATACATTTTTCTACTTTTTWAAAWWTTTWWTTWAMYTTTWTTTKTRWAAAAAAAACTAAGTCTTCTGGGTCAAGGAACATTTACCATTTCTCCAGTTACAATGTGACTTTTTAACAAGCTTTCTTTTGTTGTTCTGTAGAAAATACACAGATTCRCTTTCATAACTTGAGGCTAAACAAAGAAAAACTGGTTCGTGTCATCAGGTGGCTGCATGTCTATTAAACCGCACAAACAGGAACTGGACTTAAAAAACGGAGCCCTCGAGGGGACATGGGGGGATTTTTTTTCTTTTGCGTTCCCTCGCAATACCTTTGCTTTCCCTCGCAATACTTTTGCATTACTTCGCAATACTTTTGCGTTACCTGGCAAAATTGTTTTGCGTTCCCACGCAAAAGATTGTTTTGTATATGAACTGAATTAAATCAGACTTTTATTTTGAAATACCCAGTTACCAAAACAGGATGTGTCGCCACAGTTCGTGAAATTGACATTGATGTTGCGTGGCTGCACTGTGTTAAAATATCAGCATATGACATACTTCCATGGCTGTGTGATATATTCATTCTGAAGCTGAATTAAAGCAGTAGGCTAACTCGCTAATGGTGATCATGTGAGTTTAATAAACCAGCAGGCACAACTGTGATCAACGACTTTTGCAAGGGAACGCAAAAGGTATTGCGTGGGAACGCAAAAGAAAAAAAAATCTCCCATGTCCCCTCACGGGCTCCGTATTAAACAAAACTTTGGGAAAGTTAGCACAAATAAAAATAGTGTCCTTGGCCATGAGAAAGATTAAATCTTATTTTCTGTTTTTCATGATTCTTTTAAAAAGGCAATCTTAAGAAACATTTAGAAAAAGTGAAGAAATTTGGGAATTGAGCTCGTATAATTACTGTGTGTGTGTGTGTGTGTGTGTGTGTGTGTGTGTGTGTGTGT